ATGACAAAATATTAAATGAGATGGATGATTTTCGTGGCAAAAAGTCAAACTTTTGACTATGCCACATAATATTAGATCATTTTATGAGCAGTACCTTTTGGCTTTCATTCGGAAACTAATTAGTTATATGACTTATTACTAGATAATTGGCCCGCGCTTTGCGGCGGGATCATATATTTATCATAGATTTATAATTTATTATCTTTAGTTTTGAGATTTATTGAACTTGCAATATTATTTGATTTATTAAAAAAACTAATTGATTTTGAATATGCAAGTTTTTTTGTGAAATTTTTATATGCAATGTAAATATGATGTTCATAACTTTGTTGTTGTATAATGAATATCTTACTTGTATTATGTGAATATTTAAACAATGTGTTGGTGTGTTGTGTGAATAAGTGTAAATATTCAAACTGTGTTGTATCCTAATAAAAACACATCTAATATATATGAACATTAGTCTTATCAGACTAAAGAAGCCAATCTGATAAAATATATTAGCCGAAAATAAAGAAGAATGTGTGTGGGAATATGGCCACAAAGAAACTATGAGATTAAATATCTCATAGATGGATACCATATCAATTAAAAGAGATTAGGTTTTATACTTGAATCTAGAAGACATTTAAATGATACATTATTATTGAAAGTGGACTTGTCAATTTAAATTTTAAGTTTACTGATCGGAAACAAAGAAGTAGATGTGTGGAATAGTTCGGTCCAGATTGGATCAAGCTAATGAGAAATGTGATCCAATAGTGAATGCAATTTAGGATCAAGGATCAAAATATCATTGTTTTATGTATTTGTTCTAGTGTAAATGTTAATTCAATCTATTTTTCGGTATTTATAACATTCATGAGACCAAAAATTGGAACACACTATGTTCGATTCAGTTTGATCTAGTCTGATACGAACGAAATCGTTGCACCCGCATATTAAGAAGTACAAAGATACATAAACTAAAATTAGCATGCATTTTCGATAACTCCATATTGTTGATTCTCAAGTTATTACATATATAATAATTGTAATACCATTCTACAACTACTATTATAAAACATAAATATATGTTACCTAAAGGTTAGAAACAGGGGATTACCCCTTACGTAAGAATTTAATCAACTAATTAGACAATTGCTTCATGATGAAGAATACCATTCAAAAACATTTTTCTCTTCCTGCTTACCTATCATAAATATCAGCTAAATTATGTCTTAATCCACAAATTCCTTTTGTAATGCTAAGTTCCTTCCTACTGTTTACACGTGGAGTTGACGAATAACATGTGTCAACAAACATGACTATGGTTCCTGATTTCCTTCCCATTCCCCTTATATCTTTCACAGCTTTCAGTGTGTTTTGCTTCTCTCTATTCTTATCTATAATCCCCGATTATAGTTCCATTTGCGTGAAGTTCTCGCTACTCCGAATCTGCTTTAATTTTTATTGAGATTGAATTCAAAATTTATACGAAAATAGATTTTCAGAGTGTTAGAAATAGATAGAAGAATCAGAAGTACTGCGAGGCCCTTATACAAAACAGAGTGGCCATGCAGAGGTCTTTACTTATCCACGACTGCTCTGGATTTTGTGATTTGGAAGGAAGAGGCGATGAAAGAGTTGCTGACGTTAAGGAAGGGACGATGAAGTTGCTGAACCCGATTTTGAATTCATTACCCCTGTTCTTCCCCTCAATCCGAATCGGCTGGATCGCTGGTGATATAACCCAACGATGCAGGGGAAGAAGGAATGAGGATCCAAAGCATGCGTGACCTGGGGATAGACATTGATCAAGAAGCTGGAAGAAGTATATATCAAATTGAATACCAAGATCGACAGATTCAGAGGTGAAGGGGCAAACTAATTGATGGGTTGAACGATGATGTGGAGGCCGAAATCCATCTTCGCTAGCACCAATCAAGAGGTCGGTGAGAGGTGAGAATGGTAGAAGATTTGAAGGACGATTTGCATGCACCCTCTATTCTCCGCTGAGCTTCGTCTTCCCGGCCACTAAGAGTTGGTCGATTTCAGATTTCTGAGATTGCCTCGCTGTCACTCAGCTTTTACGGACCAGGAACGCCATGATCGGAAAACTGGGTTAGGCGTGAACTTGTACCGCCGATCAGATTGTGGAAGAGTGAGAGAAGATCCAGCAGGTACCCCAGGTGGCCAGGTCGATTGAAGAGAAACGGAGAGTTCGGCTGACCGGCGATTAGAATGCGGAATGGAGTCCCAACTTGGCCAGCAGCCGATCGATCTTCGGAGGAAAACAAACGGGGTGGAGCATCGTCGGTAGACGATTAGGTGGGAGTGATTTGCAGGGATTCACGGTAAACCTGCTCGAATCGATGGCTCAAATATAGAAAGAGGCCCAAGTATATAGAAACAGTGAATGACGGCAATCCGCGTGGGACGCAGGGGATTTATTGTGCACCCTGGCACATCTCACGGAACCCCTTAAGCAATTAGGCGCTATTTATAAATACAACTAATATCTCGAGTAAATACAATTTAATAGGCAAACCTTTTCATTTCAAACAAAATAATAGCCAAATCTTTTCGAAAACAATTTGATAGCAAAACCGTTAACTTTCCGTCCAGTCAACTGTTAGTTGACTCTAACGTGGTAAAAATATTAAATGAGATGGATGATTTTCGATGATGTGGCAAAAAGTCAAAATTTTGACTATGCCACATAATATTAAATCATTTTACCAAACAATTTATATTTTTCTGAATCCACTAAAACTTAAAAAAATAGCAATGGTCAAATTAAATTAAATTATGTAATTTCTATCCCCATTGAATCTCTTGATCAATTAGAACATTCTCTTTTCCTTCTCAAGCCTCTAGAGCCTTCATTTTTAGTACACAATCATTATATGTTCTTTGAACTCGAGGAACGTCATGTGAGATGATATGGGTTGCATCACTAGTCATCAAAGGGGAGAGTCACCAGCTTCATCCAAGAGGGATTGAAAAACAAAACCACTAACTGCAATAGAGTTTACTAATCTAATGGGCCACGATAGAAGTAGAGGTTGCACTGGTAAGGGAAAGGCAGAAACAACATCTTTAAGAACCTGGAGCATAAAGGAAGCTTATTGGACGTAGAATCAAATAATGACGATGATTATAGCTCGGAGGAACCAATCGTTTGCTTCAAGGATTTTATAACGAGGGTTTTGTCATGGATTTGCTAATTAAAAACCTTAGGATTTATTAGGAATTTTGGGCATTATGGATTTGAGGAAATCTTTTGTTTGTTGAGCTATTTTTATCATGATGGTTTTTCAACTTGTCTCCAAATCCCAGGGTATGAGATGGGATTTACAAATCCGTGGGGCCCACGGATTTGGAGCCCCAAATCAGTGGACCCCACGGATTTGGCACCCTCTATTTTGGCTCAACAAACAATAGCTTTTGGACAAATCCTTCATGTGCGGGATTTGAGAACCAAATCCCACATCCAAATCCTTGAAGCAAACAACCCTAAGAGAAAACCAACTAAGGGGGAGACATTCAAGTAGTACATTTAGGGGAGTTATGGAAGGAACTTTGTTAAGAATTGATTTGTTTGCTTTTTTTTAGTTAAGTTAAAACATTTGGTACTATCTTTTTTATAACCGGTCAACTGTCAAAGGGCAAGCATCAATACTTCTTGACTAGAATCCATGACAGGTAAATAATTGTAGAAATGCAAAGAAGGGACAACTTGTTAGGAATTTCTTACCCTTGCTATAGATGGCTAAAACCGGTAAGAAAAGTGAATCACCCTAATATATATTTCGTGTATTAGTGTCAATCTTGTATTGTAGGAAACTATATCAAGACAAAATGGAAGTTTTTCAAATCAAGGAGATAGTCGTTGCACGCTTAGAGAAAATATAAAAAAGCATAAGAGAATAAGCTTTTAAAAGAAATGACTTTTTTTATGTATGATATCTGGTAATCTCTTTCTATGTTAGCTAGCGGGGGCGGGCTTTTGATATAGAGTCATAATGTGACATCCAACATGGAATCCAATGAATCCACAATAAGCTATTGTTTCATAATAGAAATTTGTTTATTTATTAACAAGATATTGGCATGCTCGCTTGCATTTCGTAGTGATCTTGTAAAATCTAATTCACAAGGCTATTGTAAAAGCAGGAAGAAAAATCGCAAACATATTGTGTGAGAACTCCATAGCAATTTGCACTCTGACAAATGAGGCTATGAATCAGAGGAGGACGATCTACATACTATTGGTGAAGAAGTATTTGTTTGATTTGGAGCTTGGCTACTATTAATTAGAGAATTTACCTATAGATTATGCCTATGTTTAGCCAAACAAACAAAACGATAAACTTAGAATTTACCATGAATTGTCAACTAAGATGGAAAAAAGATAATAAATCAACAAAGGCAAAGGAAAAAGACGGAAGAACCTAGTATTTAGTTTCGTTGGTTCCAAGGCTACTTTCGTTCTTCTCGATTGAGAGAGAGATTTTTATCGTTAACATCACATATGACCTCGAGCAGGAGAGATGATTAAAAATACAAAATCAAATACTAAAACTTATCTCGACCGAGAGAGATGAGAGAATACAAAATCAGATACGAACAACAAATCGATTTAAAAACAACAAACAAAAATATAAGAAATAGGGAGAGAAATGAAATATGGAGAACATAAGTTAAAAGGTAAAATAAATAAAAAAATGTTGTCATATATATGTCTTCTTGAAAGATTGACCTTAAACTTTGATAAAATTACAAAAAAAAAACCCTTAATGAATAGTACAAGGACAACCAAGACTTTTATATGAGAATTTAGAAAGATAAATAGCTCATTACATAACATTTATAATAGTCTAATCATGTGGCATTCAATATAGAATCCAATTGACATCCACAATACTCTATTGTTTAATAATAGAGATTTGTTTATTCAATAATTTGAAAACATTAAATTAATAAGTCTACATTCTACACACACAAAAGAATAAAACAGGAAACTTCTCTCCCTCCATTTCCTTCTCCATTCCTGCTTACATAAAAACAATACATGTTTGATGTTGGTGTTTGATCCTTCAAAGATACAACAATTGAAAGGCTACCTCCTCACTTGCACTGCAGTGACTCCTCCTCACTGGCATCATCATCATCATCAACCTCCTCCTTCTTGTTGCTTCTTATGGCCGCGTTGTACACGTACAACTTGGAAACAAGAAGAAAGTAGAGCAGGTTGACAACGCTCAAGATCACCAAGAGTGCGTAGTAGTAGTCCAAATGGGAGAGGTTCAAATTGTCCAGGATCCACCCTCTCCTGGCATGCCTGCTGGAGACACCAGCCACAGTTCTCAGGAAAACGCTGCTCATGAAGTATCCAATCCCCAAGCCCGTGGTGAAGTAGGATGTCCCAAGGCTCTTCATCCCTTGGGGCGCCTGGTCGTAGAAGAACTCGATCCGGGCCACTTCCACGAACGCATCCGCGATCCCCATGAGCACGAATTGGGGCAGGAGGACGAAGATCGTGAGAGGCACCGTGTCCTGTTTCCCCGTGATGTTGTGTTGTGCTATGACGTTGAGCCTCCTCGTCTCTGCCAGGGAAGCCACTGCCACGGTGATTGTCTGCAGGAAGAGGCCGACCCCCATCCTCTGCAGGATGCTGATCCCTCTCGGGTTCCCGGTGTATCGCCTGGCTGCTGGCACGAGGATCCGGTCGTAGGCGGCCAGGGAGATGAGCATCGATAGGGTGACGAACACTGTGAGGCAGGCTGGTGGGATGCTGAAATTCGGGCCGACTTTTCTGTCCAATGTGGTGCCTTGCTGGATGAACAAGGTGTGTATCTGCGCGATGACGATGCTGGGAACGATTGTGGCTGTGAAGATTGGGAGCAGCTGGATCATCTGCTTGGTTTCTTCCACTTGAGTTACAGGACACACCATCCATGGTGAACTTGACTTGTCTTTCACTGCTGCTTTGTCAAGGAAGCTGCAACCATCCATCGATCGCGTAGTCTTTTAGATCGAATGTCAATCGACAGTTTTGTTGTTTTGTTAGTGCAGAAAGAAAGAAGCTTCATACCTCAGAGGAGTAGTATGGTGGACTGGGAAATTTCCTGATCTTGAGTACTCATCCAACCTGAGTTCGTGCAACTCGGTTGAGTCATTTGGCACAGTGGTATTCCACTTCCTGAGTGCAGCCACAAACACCTGTGCCATCTTGGTGAAAGGGCTGCCTGCAGGCAACCTGTGCCTGTAGAATGGGGTCCCGGTCAGAAACACAGCGATCGAGATGGCAAGACCCACCGTCGGAATGGCATATCCGATGCTCCAATTCACATTGTCTTGGATGTAGACCAGGAAGGTGTTTGAGAACAAGGTGCCAAAGAATATGCTGAACATCCACCAGTTGAAGAAAGACAGCTTGCTCTTCTTCTCCTTGGGTTCGAATTCATCAAACTGGTCTGCTCCTATGGTGGAAATGTTGGGCTTGGTCCCGCCTGTTCCAACTGCAATTATATACAGAGCTGTGTAATAAACCCCCTTCTGAACAGCCGACGCCCTCAATGGACATTCATCTTCTTTCACGCTCCCGCCGCAGGATGGAGGCTTCAGGCCAGGGACTGAAACTGCCATTGTCAAAAGGGTCATTCCCTGATGCAATTTGGAGAAATGAAAAAAAAAAAAGCTGGAGTCAGAAGAAACCATATAGAGTATAGATGAGATTATAGAAGAAAATTTTTATCGTTGTTCCATGTTTCGCGTACCATGAGATAGATTCCTGAAGCAATGATAAAAGTCCAGTACCTACCGAGGCGCGCATCTGCAACATAAGCACCTAATATGGGCAACATCCATACCGTGCCAACCCAGTTGGTAACATGGTTTGAAGATTCTACTGTGCCTTCATGTAACTTGTGTCTCAAGTATATTACCAGGTTGGAGAGAGGTTTAAAAGAAAGGCACAAAGGTTACAATCAATAGATGCTTACAGCTAGGCCAAAGGTGGACACAGAGACTACTAGAATCTCACTTCGGCCACATTCCTTGATGTCTATTCTGGCTCTTTTCCGTGCAAGGCAAACAAAAACTATGCATATTTGACAAACAAATTCTTCTTTACAAAATACCAAAGTCCTGATTTCTGAGCTGTGCCATGGAGCAAGGAAGAACATACAAAACACTACTCATTGGTCTGATTTCCACATAGATTAATCGTCTTCTATTGAAGTTATAGAGTTAGCTGGTGGTTTGGCCTGGCAGAGCTACCACGTCTAATTTTCCGCTCCCTGTGGAGTTCACATCCACATTGTAAACGAAAAATTTAGCCACCACCAGAAATACAAGGAAGTTGAGGAGCCCCAGAAGACCCAAGAATGCGTAGTAGTAATCGAGATGAGAGATATTCAGATTATCCAGAATCCACCCACTGTGGCCAGCCTTCTTGGTGATATCAGAAACTGTTGCCAGAAGGAAACTGCTAAAGAACTGCCCAAGCCCAAGGCCGGTCGAGAAGTACGTGGCGCCCAGGCTCTTCATTCCTTCTGGTGCTTGGTCATAGAAGAACTCGAGCTTTGCAGGTTCAAGGAAACAATCAGCAACCCCTACCAGAGCAAACTGGGGCAACAGGATAAAGATGCTGAGAGGCACTTGGTCGTGTTGACCCAGTTTGTGGTGTTCTCTGGCAACACTAAGCCTTTTTCGTTCAACCAGACAGGCTGTGACCATGATGACGAGGTGCAACACAAAGCCAATCGCCATTCTTTTTAGCAAAGTGATCCCCCGGGGGTTCTTTGTGTACTGTTCAAGCCATGGCACGAACCAGCGATCATAAGTGATGAGGCTTACCAGCATGAAAATGGTGACAAATGCTGATAGACATGCTGGAGGGATCTCAAAATCAGGCCCCACGCTTCTGTTGAGAGTGGTGCCTTGCTTGATGAATAATGTGTTCATTTGGGCTATTATGGTATTGGGTATTATAGTGATTGCCATAACCGGGAGCATCTTGATCATTTGCTTCGTTTCTTCAACTTGAGTCACTGGACAGAGCATCCATGGAGAGCTTGATCCCGTCATAACAGCAGCTTTATCAAGGAATCTGCAGTTATAAGCAGCTGATAGACTTGAGGACTATTGAAAGCTTATGATGCTACCAGATGAAAAAAATTAATGAGAAACAATAAATGCAACACAAACGACCACAGTATTGCAGCTGAGAGACCTTAATGAAGTGGCTGTATGATCAAGTCTGTAATAGTGAGATTCGGGCGCGAACTCATAAAGCTGTTTCGGATCATCAGGAACAGGTATTCTCCATTTCCTCACAGCAGCAACAATAACTTGCGACATTTTAGTGATTGGACTCCCAGCAATCGATTTGTGCCTATAAAACCGTGTTCCTATAAGGAACAAAGAGATGGAAACAGCAAGGCCAAGTGTTGGCAGACCGTAGCCTAGGGTCCAACCAACATTGTCTTGTACGTAGATCAAGAGGCTGTTGGAAATGAGGGCGCCAAAGAAGCTGCCGAAAAACCACCAGTTAAAGAATGATATCTTGTAATGCCTTTCCTTGGGATCAGAATCATCAAACTGGTCTGCACCCATTGTGGATATATTTGGTTTTGTTCCACCAGCTCCAAGTGCAACCGTGTACAATGCGAAATAGAAAATCCCCTTTTGGAAACTCGAGACGCTTTGTTCACATTGTGTTTCGTTGATTCCATTCCCACAGGATGGGGGTCTGAGTCCAGGCACTGAAACTGCCAAGGTTAAGAGGGACATTCCCTGTTTGGTGCGGAAGCAAAAGATATCAGACCTCATGTAAAAAAAAAGCTTTAGAAATTCTGCGAAACAAAGTCCCACATTATGAAGGAAATCCACTGGTCAAGAGTTTCAGTACCAGAAGGTAGAGGGCTGCTGCAATGACAAAGGTCCAGTATCGACCCAAGTGAGCATCCGCGATGTAACCTCCGAGAATGGGGAACATCCACACAGAGCCAGTCCAGGTGGTGACATTGTTGGAAGACTTCACTGTGCCTTCATGAAGCTTCACTGATAAATAGACCACCAAATTTGATGCTATCCCATAAAACGCCATCCTCTCAAACACTTCATACCCTGTGAGGGAAAAACACAGCAGCAGCAGCTAAGATCGTGAACAAAATAAACACTTTGGCTTCTGTTTTTCTTTTCCAAACGTTACCAAGAAAAAAGGAACAAGCTTTCCATCCCCCGGTCCTTGATCTCAACACAGGCTTCCCACGGAGGCTCAAAGTCCCATCTCGTGTATAATCTTGCCTGCCCTCCTTGTCGGAGCAGGTTCCTTCTAGCTTTTCCATTGGATTCTGCTCAAAAATCTGATCTTTCCGGTGAAATTGACCCACCGGCAAACTTGGAAGGAGCAGTTCTCTGTGGGTGAGAATGAACCACAAACAAAAACAGTTTTACTGAATTGCTTCTTCTCTTAATTCTACTACTGTTACGGCAAAATATTGACTAGCTAAATCCCAAGGAGGATTTACCCTAAAGCTACTTGAATAAGCAGAACTAAACCTAAAGCTCTCAAACCTGTCTTCGCTGGAAGTTTGGCCGCCGGATTGACGTCGCGCAACAAAATGGGATTCCCTTTCTGGGTTCACGGCAGTCTTTTTCTTCCTTTCAGAACCCATAGACGATGCACACCATGAATAGAATCCCAATTTAGAAGAAGAAAGAAAGAAGCAACAGACAAGGAAGAAAATCTTCTCGGTGGGAAAGAAAGTTTGGGGCTCGTGCTTGAGCGTTGAGTATCCTGCCATTTTTTCAATCGGAATATTTATGGAATCCTAGTAAACGAGCGTCTTTGTCTTTTTTCCAAGAATTTGTCTGAATCTTCCCTCTGTTCCGGGCCAGAAGGGAGCTTCTGTCGGGATTTGGAATTTCGGGCTTGCATTATCCTATGATTGTGGGAAAATGCATGCATTCAATTAAAGCGCGGGGTCTAATAGCAAGGTTGTCACCTCGGTAGCCGGTAAGTGAGTTGAGGATTAATGATTCTATTGTTTTATTTTAATTTAGTTTGGATATATAAAATATTTTATATTGTTCATATAAATATAAATTATATCAAATCTTACTTAGCATATAGTAATAATACATAACATTACTCCAAAATAACAGTTCCTATTAGGATGAGTTATGTAAATTTGGAGAGGGAAATATGTAGAAAGTTTGTTTGTTTATAAACTCACTTAAATGAATAATTAATATGATCTCATAAGAAACAATTTTTTTGTAACAAAAATAAAGTTATTTAAAGTGGTTTCGCTGATTTCAGCTGATGTATGTTATGTTGCCAATTCATGTTGTTAATTGTTATGAAAACATAAATAAACATGTTTTTATCAGAACTCTGCATGAAAGTTTTCATCTATAAAGTATAAACATGTTTTTCATCTATCTGTTTACCTGTGGAAACAAAAACAAAAAATAGAAATTGATACTAAACAAAAACAAGTGATTATTGTACGTTGCTTTAGATATAGTAGTTCTTGTAAAACAAAAACACAGCAATGCTTTGCTTTCCAGCAACATTTCTTTCTTTAATAAACAAGGGATGTTACTGCTGCTGCTCCTGTTGCTGATGCAATGAAACAGGTCTAATCTGGAGGAAATACAAAAGTTACTCTTTCATTAGAAATCAAAATGTGACTACTGTATTATTATCATCCCAATACAGCTTATGCTTAATAACCCTTACAATATGGCACAGTTCCAACTATTGCCCCCACGTCCTAAAACAAGCTAAAATTTCTGGGAGTTGTTGCTGAACATTTTTTTCAACTAACAAGGGGCTGCAATTTACATGCAGCAATTGATTCCAACAGCCAAGTATGACCAATAACTTGAGATCCAGTTTTAGCAGCTATATCCTCTGCTTCATTAAGCCTTTCCCAGAGAATTGACACTTCTTCTCCCAACTTGCAGCCCGGTGGAGGATCGAGATTGTAAACAACTAATGTTGTTGGGGAAGCTCCATCCCCACCTTTTTGCTGTTTGCTCATCTCCAACAAGTCTTCCTTGCTCCCCCATGCTGTGCCACCCGCGGCAACAATCAGATTTTGGAGATCTTTTCTGTAACCAGATACAAAGTCACCAGAGAGGTAGAAGTTTAACTGGTGGAAGAGCTTCGGACCCTGCAAGGAAACGAGCAAGGACAAAGCCATAATTAGACATGGTAACGGTCTACTCAACTAGAACGAAAGAAAATCGATGTTAAATCTACTCATGCTAATAGCTCATCAAGATACTTGCATTATTTAAGACACAAAGTCTCCCATTTTTGGGGCCATCACAGGATCCATGATTGTCAAGTCTAACTTCATAAGGTTCTTCACTGACAGGTTGCATTGCCTCCTTGCATGCTTTTATCCCTGTGAATATGATATCAAACCATTTAGTGATGGGATAGATGGATCTAATTTAAGCTTACACTTACAGACAGCAAGATGGAGCAAGTAAAGATGCATTAGAATATTGTTGGATAAAGGGATCAACTTACAGTCAATTGTTAGAACCCATTTCCCATTCAGAATGGCCATGAGAACTTTCAGTGTTCTAGTGCACGCCCCCTCCGTATTTGTGGATGCAATCACATGTGTAACATCTGGTCTCCAGAATTTAGTCACTGGTACATCTATTTTGTTGCCAAACTCCGCTAGAATACACTGACATGACAACCAAGGTCTAATGTGTTGGCATCTTTTGGATAGATGTTAATTCAACGCAGAAACTAACAGCTTACAGTTGTGCTTTTGAGCAAGTAGAGAGAGCTAACTAACAAAACTTCTTTTGGAGACAAAAAGTTTCAATAAAATTTTGTTTATCCCCAAGTATTAAGTCAAATTCGTCATCAAGGTAGTCAAATGCACTCATGTCCTTGAATTCAAACAGAATTAGGATTCACCAGAGTAGATGCATTTTTAACCAAGCAATTAGGAAATCATCAGTTCAAACTAACCTTCTCTTCAGCAGAAAGAGCAGATCCACAGAAAAGCCACTTCTTTGAACCTATCCACGGGTTTGACTGCTTCAAGACTCTGCATGCACAAGTGAAAAATGTCTTCTTAAGTTCATATTAGTTTATTAGAATGTCTCTTCAATAAAAAACAGTCATTCATTTCAGCACAGGCAATCCTAGCAAGTCGATTTTAAAATTACAAAAATGAGAGAACATGCATTTACGTTTTTGCCAACTCAAGATCATCCCTCGTGTTCTGATTATCTTTCAACTTCTGTTTCACACGCTTGGACTTCTCAGCTGGAAATTTGTGAGAAGAATGGCCAGGACAAAGTAGAAGGTAATCCTCCTGCAAACCAAGTACAGAAGATGTTAGTGCCAAATATCAACTCAGAGAAAAGATGCAGAAACAGACCACTTGCTAGGGTTCTCTAACGGCATATACTATTCCGAAGCCACACACTTACAAAATCCCATCTGCATCTAGCAATTTCCATTGCACAGGGAACATGATAACTTTTTCTGCAAGATTGGACATAGCAACCTAGTGCTGCTCCCTTTTGCCCACATTTGCTGCACTTAAGTTTTGCACCCCTAGCCAACTCTTCCTTCAAGTTATTTATAGTATCACCAACAAAAAATACCTGAGGGGCCCTGCAATACCAATCACACAGTTAAAACAACCTAAACACCCAATTTTCAGCACAAAATTATGAATACGGAAATAGTAACAGTGTACCATTCAACACAAATCCTGTGAACATGCAATGCAGTGGACATGGTAGCTTCATGTCCTTCGACCAGATTCCCGTCTAGGTAATGCAACATGGGGCCAGTATCCTAAAATATGAAGAGGTTACAAACCGAAGTGACAGGGAAAGCAGCAGAATAGATGTATGAAATGCAAGAAGATTAAACTAGACAAAAAGTATTTTGTACAACGAAGAGATGGTGAATGTGCTACAAATGATAAGGGCACTGACCTCTGAGACGCTAGAGGATTGACAAAATCCACAGACAGTTCCGTTTGCAGGGAGCTGATTTGATGCTGCATGATTGTGAACACCAGATATTGCCAGTTTTTCGGCTTGAGAATCCCTTGCCTCGAAAGGACCAGCAATATGCAAACCTGTATCTTTTGAACTATAGTTCAACTTTTGTCTCTTAGAATTCCTCAGATTCTCTTCAGAAGTGCCAGAAGCAGAACTGTCATGTCCCCCACGTCGTTGATTGTCAACAGAACTCTGCTTGACCAATGCCATGGCATGATTTTGTGGAGTCTGAAAATGGCAACAGGGTTGTCAAAATTCCTCAACAAAAAAGTGAGATCAGTCATCTCTGTGGCAAAGCAAAGCAGAAGATAATTCTAAATCATGCTAGTGATCACGAAGTCGGGAACTTGCATAATCAAGTATAAGAATTCAACTAACTAGGACCATTTCTCACAAAATCTAAAAATAAAACAGTGGGATCCCATGAGGTAACAAAGTGAAGTGGATTAAGAAACCTTACATCATTACCACATTGGTCATTACTGTCATCCTCAGAATCCTTGAGGTCACCAAATGAAGGACTATCAAGTGACAATTGGTCTACAAGAGTCGTAGTTACATACTCATCCATCGATTGAGTTCCTGTCTGAGAATCTATCAGTGGGGACTGGGCATTTGGTTTAGCTTTGCGCCCACCATCCTCAACCACATTTTTGTCGTTATCTTTTAAGCCCCTAGGTAAACTACATTTATCTGACATGCCTTTCTCTCCAGCCACAATTCCAACAGGAGTTGATGGAACAGGATCGGATTTCTTGCTCATTGGTGAAAATGAGCAATTTCGCACATGAATGCTGCGGTTGAAGCTAGCTTTCAGAGATTCATCGTTGCTGCCTAAAACCTGGGGAGCTTGATAAAGGCGAAAAAAGTTGCAGATGATTTTAGCCACACAAGGAAAGGCTGAGCACGAAGTGAAGGGAATTGACAATTTCACTATAATCAATGGAATAGAGGACATACCACCAGAACCAACCGACTGCATTGCAGTGACATGAAAAGCAGCATCAAGTCCTCTGTAGATAGTCACAAGGTTCTCGATCAAGGGCAGGTGCCTACTATCTGCAACCAAACATAAGGATTTTTTACCCTCTGAAGGCTAAACTCGTTCTCTAGAATAAAGTTTTCATATTAGCAAAGCCAGCTTCTTTTCTCATTCAAGTCAAATTGAAACGGCTTGGTCAATTCCATCAAGAGGGTTTAACAATTCAAATTGAAACGAACATACATAGCAAATGGATACATACCTTCATCAGCGTAGGGACCTTTACAGTAAGGGCATTCCAGACCCAGCTGTTTGGATTTGGGTAGGCACGACCTGCAATACGTTTGATAGATCCAAGTCAAGCAATTGCGAGTCAAACAGAAGAAAGCCCTCCAAAGGCGACCACCCACGGAAGGACCCGGCCAATGGCAATAGTATGAATGAAAAGATTACCGGCAGAAAATGTGATCGCATGGCAGTAAATGTGGCTTCTTCAGAAAGTTTAAGCTGCAGAAAGAGTTAAACACGGTTATATTAGTCAAACCCAAACCCTTAAACCCCCGAAAAGAAAAGGAAAAGAACAGGAGAGTTGCCACAATCACATTAGGGTTTCCGCAGAGGAATTTCCCAGTCTGGTGTTACCATCCATAAACCAATGCCGGGAACAGCAGAGGAGTCAAGTGAAATCAGGAGGGGGAAAACAACTGAAAGGAGCAAGCTTTAGAGAAGATAGAGGGAGGAAAGGAGCGAGCTTTGGAGGGGCTAACCAGAGGGGGCATTTGAGTTCGAGGGCGAGCTTCTGGAGATGAAGGAACCCTGGATTCATTGCCCTTCCAGTCCTATTCTCACCCGCCATTAAGACTGTGAACGACTACTGTGAGGAAATGAACACTGCTCGTGCTCGTGGTGTCACTGGGGAACAGAAGCAACGCGAGCGGAGATCGCCTCTCGCCGCTCAAATGTGGGAAGGCTTTTCAGGTGATTGATGTTGGCCGAGATGCGCCCACGTGGACGGCTGAGATCGAGGAATTGAAGCTCTGGCGGGAGGGTCCTTTTCAAAACCAACTCTTTTATGTAGCTCCCGCCGCGCTGCGCGCCCTTTCTTTTTGGACTGTTGGGTTTGGACTTCTCACTTCAGTTTTCAAAACCACTCCTCTCCCGCGCAGATTCCCTGCTCAATCTTCTCTTACTTTTTGCCCTTTTTTAAGCTTCGCGCCCATTTACATTTTGGTTTGTCGAAAATGGTATAACTATTAAATCGGGTAAATTGTCCCTTCGGGGACATCCGATAAAATTAAGTCGGGTAAATTGCAAGAAGGATGGGCACCGAACTAAAAAAATTTACATTTGGTATTTTATTTTATTAGTAGTCATTATAAATAGTTAAACATTTCTCAGTTAGTTTTCGTCAGCCTCCATTAACATCGGCAATTTTTTGCTGACGTGACTAACAGAATCGTCCAGTCAACCTAATTTAACCCGAAAAAATTTATACCCGACACCACCGTATCATCAAAACTCAACCTAACTTTAACCCTAAAGAACTAACATGACCCTGTTCATCTTCCCCGTTGACTCCTCATGCTCTCCACCCCTTCCGCCGTCGAACTGGAGAAGGTGGTCACTACCCACTCTTAACGTAGAGCAAGAACATCACTAAACCCCCAAAAATTTAAGCATAACAACAGCCAACAATGGCAAAGGAGACAGAAAGTAGCCTTCACCATCATACACACTGATAAGCTAACGCATCTTCGTCAGCAATTGTACGACCATTAATTAATTAATTAATTGAAACTTCATAACGCTAGTCCATCAACATTGGGGGTGGTTCTCTGATTCTCTCCTTCGGATCCATCATTGGTAAAGTTTCCAAAACCGCAATCCAGGCAGCTGTCACCAAACCAAGCTGATGGCCTCGTTGCACGACGACACTAATTTCAGCGGATTCCTTGGAATTAGAGATGGTAATTCTCAATTCAATCCACTAACCCATTAAAATTATCCACTTAATCCAATCCATTTAAGTCAAATCCATTTGATCCAAATCCAATTGGATTGGTGGATTCATGGATTGATCCATGGATCCAAATGGCAAATTATAGTTTGGTACCTATACTTTTTATATTTTACATTATGGTACCCAGAATTAATTTTTTATACGAAAAATATCATTGGAAAATTACATTTTGGTACCTAAAAATTTTCATTATAACAGTTTAGTACCTAAACTTTTCACGTTTTACATATTGGTCCTTGGTTGAGGATGTCATTTGGATTCATGGATAATCCATCAATCCACTTGATCCAATCCATGAATCCACCAATCCATTTTTGATCCATTTATCCACCAATCCATGGATCAATCCATTTGCCACCTCTACTTGGAATCATTGAAGGTAATGGCTGCCTGGATTTTTCAGAAAGCCAGGCTTTGAAGCAAGAGCAACGAGGCATCTGGCGCAGCTGGTAAGGGATCCTAGCTTGCTCTAGTCTTCTCTCTGGTGTGTGTCTCCCGACCTCTGTTACCTCATCGCCGACGGGAAAGGGCAAAAAAAGAAATTCAATAGGCAAAGAAAAGGGCCAAGCCGATGATGGCGAATCCCTTATTTGAACACGGGGTATATTTGGCGATATGTTGACAATGAAGAACATAAAATGACTTGAAACACGTCTAAATATGGGTTCTAAATAACACTAAAATGAGTGTTGTCAACTCCGCCACACTTAATTGTTTGCTTGTCCCCAAGAAATCATACTCAAACTAGTAAAACTTGATAAACAATCAATATGGAGTGATTTGTAGTTCTTCGTTTCACTAGTTAAATAGTAGGGGTCGAGTGAACGTTACTCCCATCCTAATGTGTAAACATAAACTTCCATGTGAGAACCATTATAACTAAGTAGGTCTAGACACACAAGGTGTGCTCGGCGAGACTTTAAAAAATAATGAAAACATTGGACTCTATGGATGCTTTTTATTCGTTCTTTTAAGATAAGGAGTCAATTTATTTTGATTCTCCTTTTTTTCAAACTTTGCCGCATTGGCATCAAATATTTGCAATTTTCCTTGCAAATTGGCATACAAATTTTGCAAATTGTCTTCCCGGACTCGTCATAATGTGGGGATGGTCGGATTCATTGCTTGGGCACCAGTTCCTAGCATGCATGCCTCATCTCAACGATAGACGTGTGTGCCACACATGTCGGGTTCAATCGAGAGCCGAGGTCTCATGGTTCGCTAAAAGGTGCATTTGAACCTTGCCATACGAACCCGTGAGAAAGAGAGGTTTTTGGGGGGTGGAAAGTAGTAAGAGATTATCAGGATGCGGTAAAGCTATCTAATCCCCAAACACATCCTCAATCGACACTCCAAATCGAGAGAAGAGCCCTTTGACGGATCAAATCAAACACTATGTATGGTTTTCTTTCACGCGAGGACCTCAATTGTTTAAGAAATCGTTTTGGTTTTTCGAAACGAGCACAATTTGCAAATGATTTTTAGGTCCAAAAAGGTAGAAACTCCCGCACACATGTCTTTACCTAGCAGCACACACTATCGACTCATCAAAGAGGAAGATAAGAGTAAACTCCCTCACACACCAACAATCCTAGTAAATGCAAACTACTCTCTATAAAGCACGCCATAGTGGCTATCTAGTAATTCAAAGCACGTTGAGAGGATAGATGCTAGGGATAAGGTGTTTGTAACCCTCAAATTAAAAAAAAATTGGGTATATCATCAAGGTTCCAAACACCAAATATAAGTCATTCAATGCACCAAAACCCAACTAATCGATAACAACCATTCCCAAAAACGGTCTTACATTCATGACTAAGGAAGGCTATTACCAACTTATGGAAAAAATCATTCACGAATCATTTAATCAATCATACAAATATCCCGCACCTGAGAGACACATTGCCCTCAATGTGGGAATTTGAAGGAAGGTTTGTGAATTGTTGCCATAGGGTGTTTGGTTGGGTTGATGTTGGTGCACAAGTGTAGTTCTTTGTCTTCCTGGTTTGTATAGAACAATGAAGCCCATAAGTAGAAAGAAATTAAAAAGAAGAAGGTTATGGGCCACAAAATAAACATAGATAATTAAGTATTTAAGTTAATACTAGTACTAGTTAATGGAAATTACGAAGTAGACATAATATTAGACATTGTTTGAAGTCAAAAGAAAGAAAAACAAAGAAGTGAAAGATAGAAAAGTAGGTCATGGATGTCTAAGACTTAATCCTCCTCGGAGGATTCTTCCTCTTCTCTTGCTTGATGATGTTCGGGGGAAGGCGAACGCACAAATGGTGGGAGGATATACGTCAAAGAGATTTCCATTTCCTCCATGATCGCAAGTATGCACGCCATTAGCTTTTTCCTTGCTTCCTTCCCCGTCTTTGGTTCTGGAGGATGATCGCTATAATTACCTCGGTATAATAGTCTCGAGCTCGCTTGATAGTTGAGTTTGTCGGGTGATAGATTGTTTGATGTACCACCTACTATTCTTGCATTCTTTCTTCCTGTCCTTCCTCACCATCTACTTCCATTGATAGCCCAGTTGCATGTCGCTTGGTAGGAACCGGATGATGAAACACCATGCCCTCCAATGTAAAAAAACCAAAATGACATGAAATGTAATCAACACTCATGCAATTCATGATAAACATCCATCACCTAAATAAAATGAGCAATCAAACATAGGATTCTTCACATAAATCAACATCAAACCAAAATCATAGAGAATATAGTACAAAGCCCAAATTCTTCCATCCTTTCTTCTAAAGGATGATCTTCAAGCTCTTATGGCGACGAACACCTCCAATGAGGCTTCAAGAACCCTCTTAGACATCTCTCTCTATAAATGCCTCTTTGGTGTTTTGGGTCGAAACCCTAAAGAAGAACCAAGCTCTCATATTTCTCCCCTCGGCCATTTTATATGCCCGATATTGAAGAATTCAAGATAGTGATATCAGCAAGAAAACGGTGATCCTAGCCGAAAATGCACCATTTTGTGCACACTTCACGGTTTTGGGGTAATTTTCACGCCCCCCGCTTGTGAAGTGTGCACAGCCTGCGAGATGCACAAAGGCTGTTGGTAATTGTACACTTCACGATTTTGGTGTGATTTTCAATCCCTTATGGCGTGATCCTAACATCCAGCCCATGATCCTTGCACGGACTCCACTTTTTGGCTTGTTCTAACCTCCAAATGTCCCGAAACTTGTCCCAGACTTTCCCACACGTTCTAGGACCTCAAGTGTAAAAAAACAAGTACAACCTAACGTAAAATAGGTCGAGGAACGATCATTACCAAGCAAACATTCAAAATATAAAGGGGTAAAACATGTATACATATGTTTGAATCATGTCTTGTTACCGATGTGTTACTGCGGCCTGTCTTGCAGTGTGTGGGATGGTCACAACAAGATCTGAACAAGATTCGAAACTATGATTGTTCATTTGAAGCGAGAATAAGGTCCTGAGCTTACCTTACGATTTCTTTATTCTCCGAGGGATGTCATTGTCGCCATAGAGTTAGTTGCAAGAGCTAAAATGACCAACTCTCCACTCCTGTATCTACGATGTTTCATCAATATCAAACTTTGTCGTCCCTGCTCGTTTTTCGAATGCCTTTCTTGTCAAACCCTCTGTTACGAGAATTTGGTCGTCGTAGCAATTGGGCTAATTATTTGGGCCTACTTATCCTTACTATTTTAGTATTGATATTATTATTATTATTATTATTATTATTATTATCTTTATTGTCCAAGTAGGATTTGGTTATTGTTAGTAGCTTCCTTATAGGAGTAGGAGTCATGTCTAGATAGGAAAAGGTAGAGGCTTCTATGCCTATAAATATGTACTAGTTTCATTCGTTCAATGTCATGAGAAGATTGGAACCCAATTTAGTTTATTGCTTTGTTATTTCTTAGGAGTAGTTGTAACTTGTAAGGTAATTTGGGATTGATCTCGCCATCAAAGAGGTCC